CGGCGCCTCGGACGCTGCTCGACCACGTGACGCGCCAGCCGAGCCAGCAGCCCAAGGAGACGCCGCCGAGGGGCCAATCAGCCGGGGGTGCTCCCTCCCGGCCGAGGGGGCGGGGCACTGGGGTCACGAGGAAGCCATGGGCGGGCCGGGGCGGGGCGGGCAGGCCGGCGCGCGCCGGAACAGCGAAAGCCCCCTACCTACAGGTCTGGGAATCAGTTCTGAAGCTCTCGCTGGTGCAGATCCCAGGGCTGGACGAATACTGGATGTGGACTGTCAAATGTCTTCCCTAACCAACCACACCGATGTGTTTAGGCTCCAAAATCTGGCATTCCTGTTAATATAGTCAATCACCAGTCTACCTGATAGTGAATAAAGCTCAGCTCTTGAAACTTTTAATGCAATGATAGCTCCAGCCACATTTCACCCTCTTTTAACAGGTATGTTTAGAACTCAGACTGGAAATAGACTATAACTCATCCTCAGATGGAAATGGCGGCTCAGCAACTCAGTAACTCTCCATCTTTAATACATTAGAACCCGGATAACCAAAACAAATTTCTACAATGTGCTGGACACCACATAGGATACGACACGTTCACAATTTGGCCTGGGTGTCCATCTTCCGGTGCACTATATAACCTAAGGGTGGCAGAAGGCAGGGCCTGAAGTGGGGATCAGCCCATCTCTAAAAAATTCCCCCTAACCCTCACTTCTACCTACCTCCACCACTCCCCAATACTCCCCCCCACACACACACACACCCAAATCTCTCAAGGTGTGTGGTAACTGCATTAAAATTAAGTAGCAAAAAAAGCTGGAAACTGGGATTCACTGCTTATCAGACCACCTTTCAACAAGCTATTGGGCCATCAGAACATGTTCTTTCATCTCTTCAAAGAATGTGTTTATCCATAAACTACATGTTTCCTTCTTCTCTGTGTAGACTTCCACTACCAGAAAAGAATGGAACCAACAAATGTGGGCTGTTCTGACCCATAAGTCCATTTTTCCCACTCTACCTGAATCTAGATCAAACTGCCCAACAGAAATTCTGTGATGATGAAAATCAAATCTCTAGTATCTGTGTTGTCCCATGGTAAATATGAGGCAACAGAGCACTTGAATGTTCCCAGTATAAATGAGATGATCAATGCTAACTTAAACTGGCCTAGGGCTAGCTGCTATATCTAACCTCGCAGCTACGTGCACTAACTGGAAGCATTTCCATAACCTGCAATAGTGAGATCTGGATGCCAGGTTGTGATGACCTCAGGGTGAACCACCTTCACAGCCTTGTTTTAATAAACACCACCATCCTCACTGTCTTCATCTCTTGCTTGTAAAAAGTTATCTTTCTCCTAAGATAAAAATGCCACAAAAGAGGGCTCTCCCTGGTGGTGCAAGGGGTTGAAGCATCGCATTATGAAGCTCTCTGAAGCCACTGCTGCACGAGTTCGACCCCTCACTAGGGAGCTGATCCACAGGCATGGCAGACCTGTCCTGACCTCCCCCACACTGTTCCCCTCAGCAGTGTATTTCAGTCCATCTGTCTGTTCTGCTCCCCACTATGTTTCTGGCGAATCCTCTCACCGCTCCTGCACCTCAGGCCTATACCCCAGTTCTGTATGCATAAACAAACAAATCTTTAAAAAGAAAAAAAAAAAAAAAACTAAGCTGTTCTCAATAAAAGAAAGGGTTTTCACAACAACACATATCATACACACACACACACACAAAACCCTCTGGACATCATGAAATTTTGAAAAACCTGATGAAAAGTATTTTCAATGAAGAAGAAACAAAAGATGAATATCCTTAAAATTTTTTAAACATATAAATTAGAAAGAAAAAAAGTCCACAAAATATTCAAGAATATCCCAAGAGAACCAGAAAAATGCATTAACTTCACTAATTCAAAGAAATATACATTAAAACAATATCAGTTTTCACCTATTAAAATTATAAAAATAAAAAAAAAACTATACCCGTACAGGTAAAAATGTAGACATTTTCATACATTGCTTGGAATTATTTTCATACATTTACATACAAATAGACAATATGTATCAATATTCTCTAAAATAGTTATACCCTTTAATCCAGTAATTCTGTCATATGTCAACCTCCTATGGAAATAACCAGCAGAAATATGAACAGATTTATAAGATTCTTCATCAACATCACTCATAAGAAGAAAAAAGTTTAAAATGACAACATAGGGGATTAGTACTGTAAGTCCTAGGTCATCTGCATAATGAAATATTATAAATTCATTGAATGTTATTAAAGCTATTTAGTAACATGGAAAACATAAGTAAAACTGTACTGAATGCTTCTCCAAGTGCATATGTTACATTAGAGATAATAAAATTCAAACAACTGCCTCCTCTGCCCCCAGACATTGTCCATCCTTACCTCAAAGCCCTTCCAGACTGCTCTGGACTGCTCTATCAATTTCCTACCCCTACCCTTCTTCTGTTGCCAGTCCCCCAAGTGTAAACACTTCTCTGCAGATTAGAATCAAAGATGCTAGAAAGCTTTATAATAATCTTCTTAAGACAACATTTTTCCCAATACCCAGCATCCTTCCCTGCTGCTTCAATCAGCTCTCTCAAGACACCCAATTCTGCTCCCCTAACACCCCCATCCCCAAAAACATCCTTCTTTCCTGCTTATGATGGGCACTCAATGAATGAAAATATAAATGATTTAACAGTATAAATCCAATTTTTATAAAGGAAACAAAATCACTGAGTTTAACTCCAAATAAGAGAATTACAGAATGCTTTTTATTTTCTTCTTCATTGTTTTATTCCTCCATATTCTATACAATAAATGCATACTGCATATGCACTTACAATAAGAAAATAATAAACACATAGAATTATACTTTTTCCTCCCTGTTAACTTGTCCCTAACTCTAGGTTGAGATATTCATGATTGGCCAGGAGTAATAAAAGAATCTCAGCTATGCAATTTCCATATATTTTGAGACACAATTTCCATATATTTTGAGAAACAACCCATACATTTGAGAGACTTATGGTAGGTCCAAACTCAACAAGTAGACTTTGTCCATTAAACAGTTCTTGTTTCCAGAATTAAATGTTAATGAATCAACAAAATGAAAGCCATGTCTCAAAATCAGTCATCTGGTCTGCCACCTCTGAGCAAATTGTAAATGAACTCATTTTACAAATGAGCCCAAGGAGCCTACAGTATTATTTCATAAAGTTGGCTGTGTTCTTCCTCTCACAAATGGCCAGACTGATGCATAGCATGTTTAGCTACAAAAACCTCTGCTGACTCTCCCTGCAACATTTTCATGGCTCGCCAATAGATCTGTCCACAGTTCTCAGGTCTCCCAAGGGGATGGTTCAGTTCTTCTTTGATGTAATCCATCCAAAGATCTTCAAAGGAAACAACAAAATGTACTGTAAGTGTACAATTAGATAACTGACAAGATTTATTAGTAGACATAATTGCTTAGTACTTATTCAATGCAAGATTTTTAAGAAACTTAACTTTTACCCATAATTTCCCTAAAACTTTATGCAATACAGTATCTCTCTCTTTTACAAATATAGCAAAACTTTTTTAAGTAGAACATTTCACTTTAGTCAAGAAAGACTATATATTTCATAAACTCGAAAATATTATTTTAGAGAAAGGGTGTTGCTGAGACTCTTTCAAGGTGAAACTGACTTTAATGAGTTCACTAGAAACATGCTGCCATGCTTAAATAAAATTTGCCTGAGTTCATAAAAGTGCCATTTTCACTCACTTCCCAGGAAGAGGTATGTTGAAACCTTAAGAGTTAACATTTTTTAGATGTGAATTTAATGAGTATATGTGTCAGTTTTTGAGTTCATATGTATAAAAAATTGTACATGATAAATCTTTTCAGAAATGTTTTCCATTCTTATAAATGAGGACAATGTGGAACAGCCAGTGACAACCAATGTCAATTAAGTACCCTACTGGCGCTTTGCTATAACTCCCAATGTTTTTTATGACCAACATCATTCGCTTTTCTACAAGGATTACATTTTTAAGAGAACCAAACCAAGCAAATCTTTCTCTAATCCAAGGTACTTATTGGAAAACCCATGGACTCTTGGGCTTGTGAACTTGAAATAACAAGCAAAATGATGTCTGTAAATAATTTATGTATAACTGAGAGAGGCAGTAGCAGAAGGATGCAAGCTTTATTCTCAAAGAGTGCCATAACCCAAAGAGTTAAAAAAAAATACTGATAGGTTAGCAATCACAGAAGCAAAAGGATTTATGTGTCATAACTGAAGTTTACTTACCAGAATCTATAGAACCAAACTCCCTCAAAGCCCTTTCATAATATTCTCTCAAGTTTGCCATTTTGCAGGATTCCTAAGGAAAAAAAAAACAAAAAACCAGACAATCTTGCCTCAAAAGACTAATTCATCATGTCACAAAGTTATTTCAACCACCCTGTCAAGCAGATACCATCTATTAGGTATTTGAAGAGGAGGCAGGTCAGAATTTAAGATAAACTCAGACTGGCTCTCAACTTACTTATCCAGAGAAAAATCAAATGTACTACTTGCCAGAGTGAAGTAAATGTAAAACAATAATAGAAGCACTTTACTGTGGTATCATGGAAAGAAACAGTTCTCAGTTGCAGGTCATGAGTAACTTCACAGGAAAATATATTTGAAAATTCTGAAAGATGACAATTTAATAAAGGAAGACAATTTCCACTCCCAACAGGTAAATTTTCTTTTTGAATATTTTGGTTCTGGTACATATTAGTTGTGTCTATTGTAAGATACATATTTATGTCCATACTTAAAAGAATCTCAACATTAGGTCTTAGTCCTGAACACGTTTTCTAACCTTAGAAGTTTCCTCACCCATAAAACAAGGATAGTAATATTCTTACAGAAATGCAAAGAATAAATCAAAATACTTATCACACCTAGGAAGGTAACTGGTAATAACTTTCCAATTAGGACAATTAATTCTTTACCACTACTTCCACTGAAATATACAGTTTACCCCTGAACACAGGTTTAAACCGTGCCAGCACATCTACATGCAGCTTTTCTTTGATCAGAGATTCCACATTTACAAATTCAATGCAGTAAAGATATTAAGTAGCTGAGCTCCTGGACAGAGCTTGTGTATTTGGAGGACCTTTGCAAGTTATACGTAGATCCTGGCTACATGGGAGTTGACAGCCCTAAATCCAAGGGTCAATATATCCCCTTTTCTTTCACTTTCAATGCAGATTAACAGCTTAGAAGTCCTTTTGTATAGACAAATAATTACTTCCCCACTCAATTTCTCTTCAATGAAGCTAGATAATTTTACAGTCAATTTAATCTTATATTACATATGCATGAAAAACAGAATCACACTCTGTCAAAGTGTATGACACTGCCAAGTATTTTCTATCCAGTATCCCAGTCGGTGTTATAACCCTCACACCCTGAAACAGGTTTTATGACTTCCTTTAAAGTTTAAATGCTGAGGTTTAGAATTAAGTGACTTGTCCAAGGCACATATATTATGTCATTTAATCCAAAGTTTGGCTATCAATTATTATGCTAGACTACCTCTTATGCTATAGGAGAAAAACTGATAACTGACCCACACCGGGATCAAAGTTATAAAAATAAGATTTTCACTTCACAAGTAGTATTTTTAAATTCAAATGAGAACAATAAATGCCAATCAAACTAGAGGAGAAAAACTAAAACTGAACACTTGGAGAAAGTGTGCAAAAATAAGTATACTAATATATTTGATTACCACTATAAATCAGAGTTAATTCTCTTCAAGGACTATCTGCAATACATACAGAACCATTAAAAAAATCTTAAGAGCCTCTGGAATTTTGCTGGAAACAGAATTAAAATATCAGAGGCCATTTCTGTTGTCCTCTGAGTCTCTGTAACCAGAGGGAAGATATAGCTTTTCTTGAAATCATTTATGTTCTAGATGAAACTGAATTCTATTTATACAAGAGATATATTTACAAAGCAAAGACCACCACAGTCATTCCAACAAATAAATCCAGAGTTATCTGGGGAAAGGTAGCACATGCCTGTGGCAACAGCGGCATGGTTTATGTCAAATCCTGCTAAGGCCACAGACACAGAAGCGTCTACTTCTCAAGAATACTTATTACAAAAACAGTAAATAAAACTGAATTTGTACAACATTAGCATGTCTAGGCTTAAAAACTTATCTCAAGAAAATAATTCAAAAGGAAAAAATACAATAATAACAAAATGTTTTAACAACCTGTTTTCAGTATCAAGAAACTAGGGGGGGAATCTTCATGTAATGAAACATTAATGAAAATTCTGGATTTAAGAATCCAGGGCTCTCCCTAGTGGCGCAACAGGTTAAAGCACCACACTATGAAGCTCTCAGAAGCCACCCCAGCACAAGTTGGATCCTCAGCCAGGGAGCTGACCCACATAGCACAGCAGACCTCTCCTGACCCACCTGCTGCTTGCTCAGCAGGGTATTTCAGTACATCTGCCTGTTCTGTTCCCCACTCTGTTTCCGGTGAATTTGCTCACCCACCACACCTCTGGCCTGTACCCCAGTTCTGTAAGCATAAATAATTTTTTTAAAAAGAAGAACAACACTATAGCTTTACTGCATTCTTGCTTATGGTGGAGCCATTCGGTGCCTTATGCAGAATAACACCTACATGACCTGTCCATGTAGCAGAAGGCTTGGCAACCAACCACATTATTAGCACCAAGGACTATATGTCTATCTAGATTAACAAGAATAAGGCTGACAAGGTGTTAGGCAGGTTCAACAGCCAGTTACAATCTATGCTACCTGCAGGGCCAGTCAATGGACAGGTGAGTCCAATGACTACATTCTCAAATTTGCATGGCTGATAACAAAGAACTTTTGATGGAAAGGATCACAAATGTGGAGTACTGGTCATAAAAAATAGTGAACCCTCCTTTGCTACAAAAAAGTAGCAGGGGCATCCCTGGTGGCACAGAGGTTAAAGTCTCAGCACTATTAAGCCACTGTAGCACGAGTTCATTCCCCAGCCAGGGAGATGACCCACATGGTGCAGCAGACCTCTCTTTTCTCACCCACTGCTCCCAGTGTATTTCAGCAGTATATTTCAGTAAATCTACCTGTTCTGCTCCCCACTCTGTCTCTGGTGAATCCAGAGGTGTAGGCCTGCACCTCTGGCCTACACCCCAGTTTATATGTGTATAAATAAAAATAAATATTCGTTAAAAAAAAAAACAAAACACTACTGCAACCATTAAAAAGGATGACCATATAAAAACATAGGAATACATTATAAAACATTTAAAAAGAAAACAAAACCTCCGTGCAGCACAAGTCAAAATAGAAAAGTATGAAACTGTTTATATATAAATAAAAAATTTTAACAAAAACAAGAATATATTGACTTTTCTGCACCTTTCCTCACTCTACAAGTTTAGT